CGCATTCTCAGATCAAGATCCACGATCTTTTGGTGTGGCCTGATCCTAACATGCGGTCTTCGCATTGCCGAGCGGTAGAGAAAAATTGAGTATTTTTGAAGAATTTAAGCGTGACGTCATCCATGTTGTGAGGTTGGTTAGAGTGGACTGTAGTCCTTACCGTTATGCTAGTATCCAGAGATATCGCTTTAAAGTCCCACCAATAACCTACTGAAATCTTTATCCCATGCACATCTGCTTTTGGCTGTGCAATCTACTTTTCTCTCTGAGAGATCCTGCGAGGAACATGTGCAAGATGTACGCAAGGACCCCCCACTCTCTACCAACCACAAGATCTCACAAATGTTCCTCCAGTGTGTACAAGGAAAAAAAAAACTCAGTCACGGTCATTCGGGATGACTTGTCAGAGGGGTTCAACTCATGAGACATCCTTCATAAAAAATTTTTCCAATAACCGAGAGTGCGGAGAAGCATGGCAGTTGTCGGTTAGGTGGAGCCTAGAGAGGTTGCCAACTTACTGGTGGTTACGTTCGGCTGCGCCTCAAGAACCTTGAGTAAAAAGGGCCGTCATTCTGTGCTGGTGGCCGACCCATACATTGCCTACTTCCGAGTTGAATAAGTCCAGCCTGGAAGCGCTGATGCAAAAGGAACTCTCTGCTGTGGCAAGCGATATCCTTCCCTCAAGACAACGTAAGTGTCAGCTTCCTCGACTACGGCGGGGTGGCCCTAGAGGAACTCATAATATGGGACAGGTCCAAAAGTACCTCGACCTCTGGGGAACTTTTAAGCTTTGAAAACTTCCTCAAAGCCATGATATACCCATGTGCAGAAACCTCAGAGGACACTCTCCACTAATCAAGGATAAAAACATCCAAAATGATCGACTTTTTGGCCTGTCTTTTATGCCAGAACACATTAATCAAAGTGTCGCAGGACTTTTCGACCAAACCAAATATGTACGTGCCTTGGTAACATGGATCAATCGTATGAACTGAAGGTCAGCCATGTACCTTTCGCTGTGAGTGCTGAGGGGCTGGTCCATAGTGCAGCCTGGCTACGCAGTTCTTCAAAATACTCCCGCAGCCAACCGAGTATTCATACAGATTGTCTCATCGTATACTGTAGATTAACAACACAAATGATAGCCATCAAGGAAATAAAAATCCCAAAATATGGCCGAAAGAGGGATATTTTGACTTGTGAAAAGGGGGGGGGGGGTGGGTGGGTGGGTGGACGGGCTGGGAACTGATTTAAAATTCATCGCAGAATTAACTGGGCATAACCTTCAGGTACGACCCATTATCGTTGAAGAAATTTTTTTGTTACATATCAAGTCATACGAATGTGGGGTATTGAAAAATAATCCAATATTAGATAGTTATTATTTTAATAATGATAATCACAGATAATCACACAGATAACAGTAGATGAACAAGTAAGCAGTTAAGGAGTAGATAACGAAAATGAACGTAATAAGTGATAATAAGTAGTAATAGTAAGTAATAATGAGTAATATTAGGTAGTAATAATAATAGTAGTAATAATAAAAGGATGAAAAGGATTAAGTCTTCGCCGTTAATCAATCCCTTTGTGGGATGCGGCACGCATTCTACTTCCATTCAGAATCGTAGTGGCTTATTGAATGCGATGTGGCCTATACAATGACTTGCGGGGGCCAGCCGATGTACAAGTCAGTACAAGTCAGTGTTTTTATCCTCCCAGACAAATCTGGTTTGCCGTCCCCGGGAAGGGGGGAGGTAGAAGGCTTGGTTGGCCTGGGCGGGAGTCGACCCGGGATTTGAACCCAGGCCGCGCGAGTGGTAAGCGCGCCACTTGTCACTACACACCTTCCGCTAAAAATAATAGGAGCAGCTCTCAATATTTCATTGTTTTTGGTAATGAATGCTCACTGGTCCCAGTTATAGGTACCGATTATTATCAATCATCCAAAATAATTGTCGATTTTTCAGCAATCTACCTCAACAAACGTTTACTCAGGAATGAACAAAAGCACGGGCTAGAAGAAGATGAAGCCGAATCGTATAATAGGTAGGTAAACATACTGATTTGATCGACTGAACCAAAAGCAACGTCAACGATCAATAAAATCGATTTATTTTAGATTCGCCGAATTATTAGGCCATATGTGGGGATTTATTACGCAACAAGCGGAAATGCAATTGAAACATCAAAAAGAGAAGAAGAAAGCGGATAAAGTGAGCCTTTTTCTCTGTTTTAAGTGTTTTCAGGAACTATAAGCAAAGAATAATCGATCGCTTGAGATCAGTCGACCTTTTCGAGTGCGCCATGCATTCCTCTTCACCTGAGATTCTAATGGCTTTGGAACACTTACTTTATTGATTTTTTGTACCAGTATTTTCAAGGGGTGTATGACCGACTTGATGCTTACCGTCGTATGACACGATAACCGCGTGGACGGGACTCACCACACTTGTGCGTTCTCCATTGACACTCCCCCCCCTCTGTAGGACTCAACAGTTATGAAGGCGCAGCTGGGCAGATTATGATTCTCCGCCCATCGGGATATGGCGGAATGCATTAATTTCATTTGTTGAATTCCAGGTAGTTTACGACTCTGAAGAGAGAGCGTTCTGGCGACTTCGTCGACCGAGTCATCCGGACTTCCTCGAGCAACACGTTCAAAAGGTTAATCAATATTCATTGAATTCTTTAAATGTTGTTTATACATCATTGCTTCTGTTACAGTACCCAGAAAATGACCATCAAAGGCTCAAGGTACAATAAATACCAAGCTAATGCCGCGCCTTGCTGAAAGGGAAGACACCTGCAGGCCTTGTGCAAAGTCGCTCACTGCGAAGAGCCTTCTTAAGGGGTTCAATCTCACTCTGCACCTCAGAAGTACTGCCTCCGTCTCAGAAAGACTGCTTCCAAGCATCTGAATCAGGCATATTGATGCTCTCGTCGTTTTTATGAAATGCAGTTGAAGTTGGGGCTGCACGCATGCATGTCTACCGGATTAGTTGTTGGCGGGCCCATCGTTGTTGGGATTCCCAACAGGGGGTCGTATTTTTTGGTCGCTGGGAGAGGGGTCGTATTAAGGCTAAGAAAAAATTTTATTCGATAGTTGATTTTTCCTGTTCACGGACGTTATAAAGGGGGGGGGGAGGGCGGGAGGTCGTATTTGTTCGTTGTTGAGGAGGGGGTCATATTTCCCTTCTGACCTAGAAGGTTGCTGACTTTCTGACTTTTCGTGATTTCCTATTTCAATGATATACTAATAACCCCCCCTTCACTCCGCAGCACAGTTTTTGGGAAAAAGTAGGAAAATTTTCTTGAAACTTCCTTGAAAAAACTGTTAGTGGGGAAAATTTAAGAAAATGGTAGATAGGGGGGCGTATTTTCCCGTTCCACATGTGCTATTTACCCCCTCCCCCTTCTACACAGGGCACATCTTTGATGGGCAATCCCCAATAGGGGGGTCGTATTTGGCCGCCAGGAGAAGGGGGCCGTATCTGGGCTGGGAAAAATTATGTATAGTAGATCTTTCTTGCTCCATGGACTTCGTAAAGGGGGGAAGGGGGTCGTATTTGCTCATTATTGAGAGGGGGGGGTCGTATTTACGTTTTGACATTGTAGGAGCAGTAGTTGAGTGGTTGGCTTTTCGTGATTTTCCTGTTTCATGCGTACTATATCTCCCCCCCCCCGCGCTCGACGCTCGATTCGATAAGGGGGGACGAGAGGGGGGGGGTCGTGCAGACTTGCAGACTCAACTAAAATCCCCAACCAATGATGTGCCCTGCTTCTACAGCTTGATTAGGAAGGAACCAGGCTCGTACCAACCCCCTTAAAAAGGTGTAGGAGGGGGGTCGTATGGACCCGACCAAAATCCTCAACCGGTGCTCTGGTTGTTGGTCTGATGCTTACGGAAAACTCCGTCTGAAAGAAAAAAGCCCTTTTCCACGTTGTGACCATTTCACTTAGTTTTCCCATCTTTCTCTCACGTTTAGCACTCTGCTACCACTTAGTAGTGAGGACTAGTACCAAAATATCTTGCCTCATGCCTTCATACTCTCATCACCAGAGACCTTTGGCTGAATTGATTTAAATTACAGCTCGTTCTTTCAAACCACCGCGAAATGCCATTTCATCAAAAGATTCATTCTGCGATAATCGGATGGGCGGAGAAATGGATAAGACTCTCAGCCGTTTCGTGCTCCTCACTGCCGTGCCCCTCTTATAGAATTGGGCACGCTTTCTGTGGTTTCAATGACTTCACTTCACATTCACTTGGCTCCACGAACCTCAATAAAGGCCAAACGGGGTGCGGCTCGTCGGGGTGGGTGAAGTGGCGATGTCAATATGATCACGAAAATTCCCTTTTCCAGTATCTTCTACTTCTTCTTATTCTTTAGCGTCTGTCCCGCTTGGTGGCAGGGTCCGCTTTTTTTCTTTTCCAGTATGACTCCCAAAATTTCTTCCTGCGGTACCTGCCATCTTGCCTAAGTCTCCGAAGTCCCTGCCAACTTTCCAATTTGTCCCGAAACAATCGGCTTCCAGCTAGAGGCTCCCCATTCAACCATCAGAAAGGGGGAAAAACTGTAAAAAATTTTCTCGCTCCTCTCAAAACTTTCTCCTGAGGACCGATACTCCCATTCCCGACAACTACATAGGAACCTCGGTGGGATTTCCCTAACTTGAGATTTTGGGATTTTTTGACGTACCTTAGGGCGAAACGCGTTTGTCAGGGGGACCGACCCCACTTAAGAACTGTACGCTTTCAACCCTATTCGACTTACCAAAGCGATTTTTGATGATTTCAGGTTGATCGACGGTTGCGTAAAGCCACGGCGCAAGGTTACCGTAATCTGATTGATCGTCTCAAATTCTCATTGAAGACGAAGCCTTGGTTGAAAGCTTTGAAAGCATCCGACACGTAAGTGCTGCACAGCAATTTTTTTTTGCTGCTTTCGCAGTTTCGATATTGATTATATCGATTTCGATATCGATCCCGATTCAGAATGGTACAATGGGTAGATCAACGGGTAGATTACGATCCATTTCTCACCGCACCGCAACCGTCAAATCCATGGATTACCGATGACACGAATCTCTGGACACTCAACACTGACACGTGGGTGGAATCGACTTTTCTTATCGATTTATTGATCTTTGATAACAACAATGCTGGTGCAAGGAGGACAGCAGTCCAAGGAAATTTTCAGTCGTGCGTTTCCTCTGTTGCTTTTTCCAGATCAAGAAGAAGAGCACAGCCGAAAAAATTAGTTTCAGTCTGCTTTTGGAAAAGGGTGCCGGCATGGGGTAATTATGATCCCTTACCCCCCCCCGAATAAAAAAAGATTTGTCTCTGGCGCACTGGAATTACACTCACTAATCGAGAATGGGGATGTTCGTGACTTGCAGTATTCAAAAGCTAGCGGCAGTGCACCTTTTACAGTTGTTGGTTCCGAAGTTGCAAACATGGTCTTGTGTACAGGTGCAAGGTTGATAGGGTAACATTCTAACTAGCACAGCAATAAGCGAACAGCGCATCCCATGCCGATGTTCAAGTAAAGATACGCGCCACGCCACTCCACTCGCTGGATGTGGAGTTGATAAACGCCGCTAACCTGTGGGGTGGTCGGGTGGAAAACGCAGAAAAGTCAGCAACTGGTGAAGTTTTTTTATCGCGCTCAAAAATCCCTGTCAAGACAGTCCATCAATTCCCGCCCACCCCCAAGCGACGAACATTCCATGAAAATTCAAAAAACGGGTGGAGACCGTTTCATGCGAAACACAGGCCTGTCGGCTGCCAAATACACGTTGCGGCGACGCTGTACGCGGCTGTCAACTAAATGGACCTAAATGATCTAACTGTAAGGTGGATGCGCTACAGTACGTCGAGTCAAGCTATTCTGTGTGCGCTGTGTGCTGCAGCGTAGGTTTCGCAGGCAACACCTGTAACGGGTGCCCTGCGGCTTGGTGGGGACTTTTTACTGGTTTCCATGGATTACCGATGCCTAATGTGGATACTTGACAAGAACCTACAAGTCTCACCAATGTGCAATTTACTTGGAACTAGCAAAGGTACTAGCCAAAGTGCCCTAGCAGGCCGAACAGCGCCTCCAGAGCGCCAGTTTACCGACTATTACCCCAGTGTACGAGTTCTTTTCAATTTGCAATCGTTATCTGAGTCATTGTTACTTTATTTTAGTGTCGAAGTGCCAACGGAGAGGCGAGTAAAGCGATGGGGTTTGTCTGTACAGGAGCTTGTCAAGGACCCAATAGGACGTCAGGTGAGGCGTCAAAGAAATAATCCTGTGAAACGCTTTTTTGAGTAAACCGTAATTTTTCAGGTCCTTGAAACATTCCTCGAATCCGAGTTTTCCTCCGAAAATATCCGATTTTGGATTGCGATACAAGACCTCAAGTACTCGCCGAATGAACAGATCGATCAAAAAACGGAACGGATCTATGAGGAATTTTTGGCACCCGGAGCCCCTGCACAGGTATCTCCAGATAGGCTGGATTCTGAATGCTATCCAGAATGATATGGTCCGTTTCCAGGTCAACGTTGACTCTCGGACATTGGATCAAACGTTGGATTGTCTGCAGAAGGCAACGACAGCATGTACACGACGTCATGCATTCACACATTCTGAAGAGCATGTCTTCACCCTCATGGCTAAGGACTCTTATCCACGATTTGTACGGTCTCAAATTTATAAGGTAATTATGCTTTGTTTCAATTTAGTCTAATGGCCGGCAGTCCTTCCCCGTATCTGAAGAAAAATTCTAGCTACGCTGAGATGTCTCCCTTTTCGACATGCTTCACGCTTACGCTACGACATAGTTGATAAAACCATTGCTGTAAGGACACAGTTTTCTGTGATCGTATGGGAGGAGACGGTCAACAAGTGTGCATCCCTCATCGGTGCCTCTCTCGCTAAGACGGTACGGGAGCGCGACAATAAGAAAAACGCAACGATTGGCTGTCTCCGCCCACAAAACCAGAGTGGAGTAGGCCCTAACACATTTCTTCCCCAAGAGTACTTGCACTGGAAAGTCCGTTTCGCTAATACCATATTTATTCTGACCCGACTATAATTCCAAGGTTTAGAATTCCAGCGGTTCTTCAAAAAAGCTAGAGATTAGAGAGGACAAGGTGAGAGACTGAGAGGTAGCACCTACCAGACTCTTGATCAGTTTTAACCCGGGTGTGGGATGTTCAATCCA